GGTTGAAATCGAAAAGGTTAGGGAGGGAGAAGCCCACCGCGGGTTTTCTACGACAGCAGTTGAACGATGAAGGAGCGGGGTTACGCTCAGATCACAATTTACGAAAGACGATGAAATCGAAGGCCTGAAGCAGCGAGTGGGTTGATCGATAAAGATGATCAATATTTTGAACTAAAAAGGAAAAAGAATATTCACACAATAAATCCCTAAGTTTTGAAAATTTTAAAAGTAGGCATGTATCTTAATAAAACGAGAAAATAACTTCAGTGATCGAAAATGCCTTATATTATACGATTTTAACCAATTTTTTTTTGGATTTGCGAAAATGACCAATAAATTCAAAATGCGAACTCTAATTTCGCAACACAGTTTCCAAATACGCAACGCGAATATGTAAATCGCAACACAATTTCCAAAATCGCGTTACGATAGTACTGTTTACCTATATCGGTAATTAGCGTTGTGAATTTGAAAATCGCGTTGCGATAGTACTGTTTACCTATGTCGGTAATTAAGTTGCGAAATTGGCGAATTCGATTTGCGAAATTCGCGTTGCGATAGTTGTATTTACATATATCGGTAATTAGCGTTGCAAATTTGAAAATCGCGTTGCGATAGTACTGTTTATCTATATCGGTAATTAGCGTTGCGAATTTGAAAATCGCGTTGCGATAGTACTGTTTACCTATATCGGTAATTAGCGTTGCGAATTTGAAAATCACGTTGCGATAGTACTGTTTACCTATATCGGTAATTAGCGTTGCGATTTACATATTCGCATTGCGATTTTTGAATATGTGTTGCGAATTTGTTGGTCATTTTCGCAAATTCAAAAAAAATTGGTTAAAATCGTATATTATAAGACATTTTCGGTCACTGAAGTTATTTTCTCTAATAAAACATTAATAAATTATTTCAAATTAAAAGGTGAACCAAATTGATAAGATTTTTGAATATCATATATTTATTAAATTATTTCAAATTATGATTAATTTGATAGAATGCATAAATTTTGAGGACTTAATATATTATTCTACCATGTCATTTCACTATAATCGTTAAACCAACTATCAAATCTAACGACGGGTGACTAAAATAGAAACGAAACATAACATTATGTATGACTAGAAAAAACATAATTAGATGTTCAAAAGAGAAACACAAAAATAAATGAGTGACCAAATAGATAATTTACCTTAATTTAAATTGTTTAAACCATTCCTCCAAAAGAAATGATATTCACTCGTGGTGGGATCTAACAATACATTATATTTGGGCAGTGAATTAAATACATTATCTTTATATATAAACAAAAAAACAAGTGGAAGCATGACAATAATCATTACCTTAAAGGATATAAGAAAACATTTTTTATGATGATTAACAGTCTTTATTTATTGGTTATTATTCCACCCAACTGTGTTTTATCTCTCAAATATTATTCATAAATCCCATATTAATTAATTGTCACGTGCTTCTTTAAATAATACTACATTGAAGGTGGGTTAGCTAATAGACCAACCGTATATTATCACTCTAAGGAGGGGTGTGGCTGACGGTGTGCAGGGTAAGCGATCGTGTAGGGTCCCAAAAAATAGGGACCTCAAATCGAGTATATCTATCAGTTGTTGCCATTAATAAGCATAAAAATAGTGGTCCCGAAATCGAGTATATCTATAAGTTGTTGCCATTAAGAAACATAAAAATAGAGGCCTCGAAATCGAGTATATATATATATCAGTTGTTGCCATTAAGAAACATAAAAATAGGGGGCCCGAAATCGAATATATATAGAAAATAGGAGCCTTGAAATCGAATATATCTAGAAAATATAGACCCCTTTATAAGAATTTACACAGGACCCCCGACAACCTAGTCACGGCCCTGTTCTCAGGCCTCAACCACCCATCAAACCAATTAAAAATTTATAGTTTATAATTTAAAACTTGAACTAATAAATATAATTATATAATTTAAACTAAATTTGAAATGATTTGATCGTACAAAAAATTAAATTAAATTTATATCTATAAGATTCCGCTGTTCAACTGGTTAGTTTTTGAATCAAAAAAGATAAATAGAAGCAGGCATCCTCTTGAAAATTTTAAATTAATATGTATTTAAAATTTTGTTTTTATATGATCTTTTACCGTTGATGTACTTACCAAGTCTCATTAGATTTGAAATTTGGATTTTTTTATTATTTATGTCTATTCTGAAATTTTATTTACGTCGTCCTTATACAACAACAAATCTACGTGGTACGTAGGGACAATTGCCCCCCCCACCCACCCACTTTAATGATTTAATTAGTTTTATATATTTAATATTTTTAAAATCATTACAACTAAACTCCTACCATTTTCAAAATTTACTGGTTTAATTATATTTTAAGACCCTTTTCATTTTAAAATGAAATTTTTGACTTCTAATTTTTATGGTTTAATCATTTTTAAGACCCTTCAATTTTTATGGTTTATTCAATTTTAAAGATTTTATTTATTTCGAAGTTTAATAATTTATATTCTCTCATAGTTCAATCACGACTCTACCTACCCTATTATATAAAAAAATTATATTATTACCATACACATGTGTCCATTCTAAATAATATCTGGATGCGCCTTTTATTGTTGAGACGACTGATTATGGCTTTACCGATACTATGGGATACCTGGCTGCTTCTATACATGGAATACATTCTGGCAGACCGCTGAAGGTTTTGTAAGCAGCACATTTAAAACTCTTCGTTACTTGTTTTGTTTTTGTGAAGTGGACTGTTGAATGCTAAGCTGGCTAACAATTAGAATAAATGGTATTAATGAAGTATTGCCACAATCATATGATGGAGGTAGGTATTTGGTTTTTATGTGAAGAACAAGGCCCTAGGTTTTTACATGTATTTTATATTAGGTTTGATGACGGGAAGGAACCCTATTAAGTTTCCTATCATTTCAGGCTAATCAGTTACCCTCATCTTTGGATGAGCTGGTTGATGTTGGTGGGAACAGTTTTAATTGGATTTGTATGTTTAAGCCGCTTTAGCAACCATGTATGCAATATGTGGCGGAACTGATGAGGCTCTTAAGATATTTGATGAAATGCCAATGATGGATTTTGTTAGCCGTACTGCCATGATCACCGCCCACGAACAGGCTGAGCAGCCCCCATAAGTCACTTCTGTTGTTACGAAAAATGCAACTTCACGGTGTTTCAGCAGATGCAGTGGTTATTGTGAGTGTTGCCTCTGCTACGATAGTTCGTGCGTATTCCATTTGTAATGGTGTTATAAAGGATCTCTCTATTGGGAATTCAATTATTTCCAAGTACGCGAAATGCGGGATTGTGAGCTCGGCTTGCTGGTTTTTTATACAATAGAGGAAAGAGATGGTATTTAATGGAATTCCATGCTTTCGGGATACAACCAAAGGGGTGCCAAGCTAGTGAAGCCTTGTTACTTTTTGAGGAGATGTTGAATTCGGGTTGTAAGCCTAATCCAGTGACAATGTTGATCATGGTGTCTGCCTGTGCTTATTTGGGCTCTCTACATTTGGAAGCAAACTCCACAAATTTATTATCGGTAAAATGATATTTCTCCAAGGGAACCAAATACTATACTACCCCATGGAATGGATGATCTCTGGGTATGTCATGCATGGATTTGGAAAAGAAGCATTGAATCTCTTCTCACAAATGCAACAAGCAAGCACTAAGCTAGACCATGTTACTTTTACCTCTCTTCTATCTGCCTGTGGTCATGCGGGTCTTATTGATGAGGGGAGGAAATGTTTTTCAGAAAATGAAAAAGACATTCTGTGACACCCTAGGCGAAACACTGTGCTTGCATGGTCGACATGCTAAGCAGAGCTGGACTACTCAACCAAGCTTTCGATATGGTTCAACAAATGCCAATACCACAAAATGATGAAGTTTGGGGAGGCTTGCTTTTGGCTTGCAGAATCTATGTGTGTGGGGGGGGTACTGATTTAGGAGAAATTGTAGCAAGAAGATTGTTCAAACTCGAACCGAAGCATGCTGGATACTATGTACTAATTTCGAACATATATGCAGTTTCTAACATATGGCAAGTAGTGGAATTGAGGCAAAATATGAAGGATATAGGATTGAGAAAGCCTTCAGCATTCAGTGTGGTTTGAATTTGATAAAGAGATTCATGAATTCTATTTGGTTGATAGAGTGAACCCGTATTGGCAATGATATGCGCATAAAAATATTAAGTTCCTGAGTTCGTACTCGCTGACATAAAATCCTATTTGGTTACAAATAATCTGTGCATCTGCTATGATTGCCACTCAGCATTCAAGATGGAACTTGCTCATGCAATGATTTATTCGTAGCCACAAACCTGAACCCAACCTAAGCCCTGTATCTCAGCTCTCCTTTAGGACATACACTTAAAGTCCAAGAACCTGATCTGTTCAATTCAAATCTAAACACGACTCAACTTTATCATAAAAAAACAATAAGTCAAACTTGAATTGATCTGAATCTGAAATAAATAACTCGAACTTGAGATAAATCAAACCTGAAAGACTTGTACTTGAATCTAGAATGTTCGAAATGAACTTGTTGTCTAACTTGCAAGATTGGTACATCAATATTTTGAAGAAGCACATACAATCATGGCTTCATAATCTTACCCCATTGAAAATAGCTGGGCATAATACAAAGACTGCTACAAAGTTGACTTAAAAACGAAGATTCTGAGCCCCAGGTATAACAATCATCCTTAAAAATTTCAAATTCTAATATATTTTAATTAATCTCGACATACTAAAATTTGTGTACGGCAGCAGCCACTTTTGGCTCCGAAAAGAGCAACCTTTTGGAAGGTTATTCTTTGCTTGTTTTACTTCAGCTGGTGATTTGTCCTAAACCAAAGGCTGTTACCAAAAGGGAAGACTTTATGATATATTTTTATTTGTTTGTTTGCTATTTCCCCCCTAAAAATATGGTGGCTTGACGTGTCAAGCTACCCTTCTACTCCATCCCTTTCTTCTTCCTCTCTTTTCTTCCTTGGCCAGGCAGCCAGGCAATTCAATATCCTTCGATTTCCATTGGACCTCATCTCTTACTCTCCCTATATTTTCTCCTTTATTCTCTTCCTTAACACCCTTAATGAAGCTCCTCCTGAGTGCCAAAACCTACCCACAATTTTTCATCTGAAAAACAAACAAACGAACATGGAGGTTCTTTGTTGTTCTTCTTCTTCTCCTCTAGCGATTCATTTCCATTCACGTGGCGTATTTTCCCATTCTCCATCATCCCCACGTTTCCCTTTTCGTTTTCATCGAAATTCTAATGGCAATTCGATTTCTTCTTCAAGTTCTTCTTGTTTTGGCCTCTCAATCTCTCGTTACAATAACTTTTTCCATGTCAAACATTCCCATTCTCGTAAAAGGAGAAAACCCATTCAGATTTCTGCTGTTTTCGAGCGTTTCACAGAGCGAGCGATCAAAGCCGTGATCCTTTCCCAGAGGGAAGCCAAATCTCTTGGCAAAGACATGGTTTTTACCCAGCATCTTTTGCTGGGTTTGATTGGCGAGGATCGTGACCCCAATGGTTTCTTGGGGTCTGGCTTGAGAATCGATAATGCTCGTGAGGTTGTTCGTAGTATTTGGCAAGGTAATAACCATGATTCAGGTGATGATTCGGGTGATAAACAACAAGGGCCTATAGTTTCTTCTACGGATGTGCCGTTCTCGATCAGCACAAAACGGGTTTTTGAGGCTGCTGTGGAGTATTCGAGGACTATGGGTTACAATTTCATCGCACCCGAGCATATTGCTATTGGTTTGTTCACCGTTGATGATGGAAGTGCTACTCGGGTCCTTAAGAGGTTTTCTTTTTCTTTTAAAAATGAGCCAATTTGTTTCCTTTTTTATGTTGTTTTTGTATATAGAGATCAAGAACATGTTTTGTTTTGTTTTCAATTGTTTGACATTTTATAGTTAATTCAGAAACTCAAGAAAAAAAGCATGATTTTTTTTGTTTCGTTATGATTTACTGTAATGTCTGATGCTTTTACTTTGCATTCATGCACAGCGGCAGAAACAGGGAAGGAAACTAATGTAGCATATAGTTCTTACAATTTAAAAGGGATTTATTAGTTGACTTTCTGTTTGGAGACAAAATAACAATTTAAATTTAACATTTGACTGTAGAGATAATAAATGTATAGGGGCAACTAATGTAGAGATAACATCCGATGCTTTTACTTTGCATTCATGCATAGGGGCAGAAACAGGGAAGGAAACTAATGTAACGTATGGTTCTTACAATTTAAAAGGGATTTATTAGTTGACTTTCTGTTTGGAGACAATAACAATTTAAATTTAACATTTGACTGTAGAGATAACAGACTAGTAATGGCACTTGGTTTCTCTGCCAAGTGATTCGTATCTGCTTGAGACACATGCAAGTTTCATGTCATTAATTTATTTTTTTTGGCTGAAAACCTCAGATTGGGAGCAAATATAAATCACTTGGCAGCCTCAGCGGTCACCAGACTGCAAGGGGAGCTTATAAAAGATGGTAGGGAACCTTCATTGTCATCAAAAAAGATGAGTGAAAAATCTCTTTCCAGTAATCCTGGTGCTTTGAGGTCCCCTGACAAGCTAAAAGGTAGAAATTTGATGTATTTGTTCTCTTTCTCCATGGTTATTTTTTTATAATAAAGGAGGGTAATGCTTTGGACCTTACATGTGATTGTTAGGGAAAAGTGCTTTGGCTCAATTCTGCGTGGATCTTACAGCTCGTGCAAGTGAGGGATTCATTGATCCTGTTATTGGCAGAGAGAATGAAGTTCAAAGAATTATTCAGATACTTTGCCGTCGCACCAAGAATAACCCGATTCTTCTTGGTGAAAGTGGGGTTGGTAAAACAGCCATTGCCGAAGGACTTGCGATTAGCATTGCACAGGCAGAAATCCCAGCATTTCTCTTGGTCTGCCTCTTCACAAATCATTGATATTCTGGATAGCTAGTTCCATTTTACTGGATCCGAATTCTTATTTTCGTACTTCTAATGAGTTTTTATGATGTATCTCCAAAATTTATTGATATATTGCTCTTACTGTGCACAGAATAAAAAAATAATGTCATTGGACATAGGACTGCTCATGGCAGGCGCAAAGGAGAGGGGAGAATTGGAGGCACGTGTTACTGCTCTGATTAGTGAGACAAGAAAATCAGGTGCCTGCAATGATGAGTTTCTCTTTGGGAGTTGAAATCTATTTTATTGTTTCTCATACTTGGTGTGCCTGTTCTTTAGGTAATATTATTCTTTTTATCGATGAAGTCCACACACTTATTGGATCTGGTACGGTCGGCCGAGGAAACAAGGGATCTGGTCTTGACATCGCAAATCTACTGAAGCCTGCACTTGGTAGGGGTGAATTACAGGTAATTGTTTCTCATATGGTAATTTTACAGAGTACCGGAAATGTCAAAAACATAGGCACCTTATTTACTGCAGTCACTGAAGACGGTACTTAAATCTAACGAAAACATCTGTAATATATCTGGATTACCTCTTGGGATTAAAAAGGTTGCACCCTTGTTCCTTCTAATGGACTCCAATTCCCTTCTCCTGCATAGCTTTCTTACATGGGTAGTGGACGATAAGGGCATGCCTTAATGTTTTAGTATAGATGTTGTGTTCTTATTATGATTGTCATACTCTGACGTGCGCACTTTTGAGGAATAAGTTCTGCTCGTTTATTGAGCTCATATATTTCGTTTTTTTATCAGACACTAATTCTACATCTTTTGTAGTGTATCGCATCAACGACTATGGGGGAATATAGGACCCAATTTGAAAAGGATAAAGCATTAGCTCGAAGGTTTCAACCAGTATGGATCAATGAGCCAAGTCAGGTTGTTTTAATGCGAACTATACTTATACGTAAGTAGTTGTCTATTTCCCTCTTTACTTATTTGGTTGTGATGTGATGCCTTATAGGAAGATGCAGTTGAGATACTGCTTGGTCTGCGTGAAAAGTACGAGTCTCATCACCACTGCAGATACACTCTGGAAGCACTAAATGCTGCTGTATACCTATCAGCAAGATACATTTCTGATAGGTATCTTCCGGATAAAGCGATTGACCTGATTGATGAGGCCGGAAGTCGAGCTCGTATTGAGGCATTTAGGAGGAAAAGAGAGCAAGAAACTGACATTCTCTCAAAGACACCTGATGATTATTGGGAAGAAATCAGAGCCGTTCAGGCAATGCATGACGTGGTAATATCTTTTATCCTATGTGTACATTAGCTTTTGATTTGTAAGCCTGTAATCTCCTTTCGGCGCTTCTGTCATGGATAGGTCATGGCCAGTAGGTTGAAAATTGATGCTGGTGTTTCGGATGCGGATGATTCCAGTGAACTCCTCGTAGAATCCTCTTTGCCTTCTACATCAGAGAATGATGAGTATGCTCCCTTTTCTTTTCTTTCTTTTCTTTCTTTTTCCCGCTCTTCTTTCTTTCTAGGCTCATGCTGAAGGTTACATTACATATTATTAGCTTCTTGGTCCTTTAGGCTTTGTCTGACAACCATCTAAATTTTTGGGGGTGATTCTTTCAGACCTATAATGGTGGGACCTGAAGATATTGCAACAGTTGCTTCAGTTTGGTCAGGGATACCAGTGAAGCAGATCACTGCAGATGAAAGGATGCTTCTAGTTGGCCTTGATGAGATGCTTAAGAAAAGGGTTATTGGTCAGGATGAGGCCGTCGCTGCCATTTCTCGAGCTGTTAAGAGATCTCGTGTTGGCCTAAAGGATCCAGATAGGCCAATTGCTGCAATGATCTTTTGTGGTCCAACCGGGGTAGGCAAAACTGAATTAACAAAAGCTTTAGCAGCATGCTATTTTGGGTCGGTAAGGCTTCTTGCTATTATTCAAGCCTTTTCTCTCTTTGAGATATCCTGGGTCTGCTTTATTTAAGGAGATAACATTTTATTTCGGCATGAAAGGAAACCTGTTGTTTAAAATATAATACTGGACAGTTGCATATGTAAGGTTGTTTTTTGTTAATATATCGCTTGGCCCATATCACCAGCTTAATCATTCTATCTCTTTCTGTCTGCCAATTTTTTGCAGGAGGATGCTATGCTTAGATTGGACATGAGTGAATACATGGAGCGACATACAGTGAGTAAATTAATAGGATCGCCACCAGGATATGTCGGCTATGAAGAGGGAGGTATGCTTACGGAAGCTATTAGAAGACGACCCTTCACGCTGTTATTGCTTGATGAAATAGAGAAAGCTCATCCTGATATATTCAACATCCTTCTCCAACTGTTTGAAGATGGTCACCTCACAGATTCACAGGTTGGTTTGTTGTAAATTCCACTTGCTTGAGACATTTGAAGATAAATAATCACCATTTATACATGGCCTTAGCAATTAATAACTTCAATTAATATTTTTATTATTGGTGTCTCTCATTCGATATTCTGTTAATCAGGGTCGAAGAGTTTCTTTCAAGAATGCATTGGTGGTGATGACTTCAAATGTGGGTTCTTCTGCGATCGCAAAGGGTAGGAGTGGCTCCATTGGTTTCATACTTGAGAACAATGAAGCAACTTCGTATGCTGGAATGAAGGCTCTAGTAATGGAAGAACTGAAGGCATATTTCCGTCCTGAGTTACTCAACAGGATTGATGAAGTAGTTGTCTTTCGGTCTCTCCGGAAAGCTCAGGTTTGTACCAGCCATATTCTGTTTGTCCCTGGAAACTCCTTCCACATGCTACATTAAGTTGGTATCACTTCAAACACTAAAATTTTCTGATATTTAGAATAAGAGATGGTACAAGGCTGTAAAGTCTGTTTATCATCATCTCGGATTATTTTATAATGATACACTGTCGGTCATATCGTTTTGGTGTCTTTTCAGATGCTTGAGATTGTAAACCTGATGCTGCAAGAGGTTAATGCTAGACTTATGTCTCTGGGAATTGGTTTGGAGGTGTCTGAATCAATCAAAGACCTCATTTGTCAACAAGGCTATGACCAGACATATGGTGCGCGGCCCCTCAGGAGGGCGGTTACCTTGATAGTTGAAGACCCCCTGAGTGAAGCCCTCCTGGCCGGAGATTACAGGCCCGGAGAAACGGTTGTTATCGATCTGGATGCTTCAGGAAACCCCATTGTTACAAGCCGATCAGACCGGGACATCAGCTTGTCTGATACAGCATCCATGTTCTAGTTGCTTATTCCTGGTACCAAACGATTTCGTGAATCGAATAAGGGAATTCATGTGATCACTCTTAAAAGGATACCATTAAACAGTTTCGGATTCGGCATCTGTAATTCATCTCTATATTCTCCGATTACATAATATTATTCCATTATGTAAATTTGTACATGTAAATAATGTAGGAAGATTTATGGGTAGTTTGATAACATCCATTGTATATAAGTTGTCGTCACCGTTTTTCGCCCGGGACGTGAAAAATAGATGTACGATATGACTTTCGAGGAATGTCGATTTTTAAAATTGAATTAATTCAGAAAAGACTAGAGTCGCCATCAACCTTTTGGTTAGGTAGGTTGAATACCCAAAAAACTTCTTTTAAACGAATTTTAAAAAAATCATTTAAAGACAAAAATTGATATGTGTTTAATCAGCAATTCATTTTTAAGGATTCATGAGTCGGTTACGCATGGAGAAGGGTAAGAACTGCCACAACGACCAAGATTGGTAATTCTCGATTATAAGTTGTCGGAAATGCTGAAATTTTACAAATTTAAACTTGAAATTTAAATTACGATCCTTTAAATTTTTATGATTTTTTAGATTGAGTGAATTCATTTTTAAAATATTCGACTCAATAAAATATTTAATTAACTCGATTTTATTTAAAAAAGATGTCCTCTTTAATAGGAATTAAAATCTAGTTATATTGGACGTAATTTCGCTAACTCATGATGTAAGACAACATGGTCTTGTAATCTTGTGGGAAGCGAGTAATCAAATGCATGATCATGAATGCAACAATAATAAATGTAATGTGCAAAACAGATGAAATAACCACATAACATGACAAATAAATAATAAATGATAAAATATAACTTTTTATTCGAATAACCCTCAGAAGAGCACTCCAGATTTTTTAAGGTATTCCATAGGTTAGTCGAACAATTAAAGAAAATCACATCATTTTATAATATTAACCTTAAAATTTTCTTAAAATAATTTCTCAATCAACACTAAGAAAACAAATTTTTAAAAAATACATATGCATAAGTTTCTTGAAAAATATATGTATAAACATGTTACATATTTAATATACCGTAAAAATATATTTTACTATATTCTATTGAACTAAATAAATAAAATGAAGCAAAGACAAACAAAATAATATAGGGACTAAATCGCAAATACAAAAAGAAAAGGACATTAACGTAATAATCCACATTAATCCATGAAGATTCAACCAAAATTAATATCAAAATGAAGACATTGTCAAGTTACAGTGACAAAAAGTGTAAATAAAGCATCCTAACATAAAATAAATAAAAAGGACTAACATGCAATACGTCAGAAACTAACATTTAAAATCAACAATTTACCCAAATAATATTAGCTAATAGTGTAGTGACTAAAATGTAAAGGTAGACAATTTCAAAGGATCTAAAAACAATTTCTCTCTTTTTATAAGCTAACATAATAATGAAAAATCATGCAATTGGGGTCTGCAAATTTCAAACAATTAACAAAGTTGAGGGACCTATTTGCAAAAACACGCTAAATGTTGAGGGACCTGAAAGAAAATAAACCAAATAGTTAATAGTTAAAACATAAAAATGGGAAATAACGAAATGAGGACATTAATTTTAAAATAGAATAAATTAAATTAAAACTGGTGACCAAAATGAAAGATGATGAAATTTGGATGGTCGTGGGCATGATTTGACCAAGTGGTGATATCAGAAGCCCTAATCCTTAAAATGACGTAGTTTTGATCGAGCTATATAAGCCCCTTTTCCCTTATTTTTTCACTTTTTATTTCCTCTCTCCCTCTCCCTACTCTTTCTTCCCTATGCAAAACCCGACGAGGGGTCTCACCGGACGTCCTGACGGTCACCGTCGGCTGTCGCATCGTCATCGTCTCCAGTGGCTGTTCGGGCCCAAAATTTCCAGCCTGACTCCCCTCGACGTGGTTGTCACATATCTACCCTTGGTTTCACGAGAATCGGCCCCCAACTCCACAAAATAAGCCGAGAACCTCTCGGTTTCCAATGCTTCGATCTTTGCCGTCCACCGTTAGATCGGGTCGATTTCAACGTATGTTGCTCCTCTTCGCCTCACGTTTCTCCTCACCGTTGGTATCTTTCGTCTAAAGACTGGAGATGTTACCGTCGGTAGTAAACTTCTTTCTTCTCTAATTTTTTTGTTCGAACTCTCCCTTTTTTTTATCTCCCCTATTTTTGTTGTTGTTGTTGCATGTGGTTTTAAATCCATGGTGGTTGGTCTGTTGAGGCAAAAATGGTAGAGGCATGGCCGGCTAGTGAGAGTTGTTGGAAGAGGTATGGTCGGTTGGTGGGAGTTGGAGTAGGTTGATTGGATTTGTTTGAAATTTTTTATTAGAGAAAATAATCTCATTGACCAAAAATGCCTTATAATATACGATTTTAACCAACTTTTTTTGGATTTTCCAAAATGACCAACTAAATCGCAATGCGATCGATAATTCGCAACGCGATCTCCGGTATCGCAAATCAGTTTCCAGATTCGCAACACGATTCTGACTATCGCATTACGATTTTCCAAATTCGCGTTGCAATTTTCCGACTATCGCAATGCGAATATGTAAATCGCAATGCGAGTATGACTATCGCAACGCAAATATGTAAATCACAATGCGATTATGACTATCGCAACGCGATTCTGGCTGTCGCAATGCTGAATTTCAAATTCGCAACAGGTTTTAGTTTCGCAACACAAATGTTTTGGGTATATAACTACGCAGCAGAAGCAACTCATAACCTAAATCCCTAAATCGCAACTCATTCCATCTCCATCTATCACTCTCTCCGACGATATCCATTCTTATATCTAACGACATCCTTCCCCATCCGGCAACAGATTTTAGTTTCGCAGCTCGTTTGTTTAGTAAATTAATTTACAATAATGAAATCATCTAATGTTGATCATGTTTGGATAGATTTGTGTTTTGGAGGGTCATGGGAGAATGTTCATGGTGTTTTACAATATATGCCTTTACCCATGAATCTTCAACTAAAACTGTCATTAAAAAGTTAACTTATGAAACTATAATGTTACGTGTTGCAAATAAATTGAATTTAGAGCCCTTAAGTGTATTTAGGCTATCTTATCAGAGAAAAGGTAAAGTTTATTTGTTAACCGACAATGAAGATGTTGAACGATTCATTGCTTACATTAGTGTTTCGCAAGATGATGTTACATTGTATGTTGTTGAACCTAGAAGTAGTGAAGTTGGGTCAGTAGCGGGTGTAATCAACTAAGTTTTTCAACCCCAGTTTATGGTGCTCAAAATTTAATGGTTCCACCACAATTTCATCACCAAGCAAATTTTGTTTCACCACATTTCCAATACCAAACACAATCTCAAAACCCACAACCTTTCCCTAATCCAATTCCCAATCAACTTTCAGCACCAAATTCCGGTTTTCGTATTAACCAGTTAGACGATGATGAGCCAACAGAAAAAATTGTGAGTACTAGTCGGTATTCGAAATTTGATCTTGGTCAATACCCGGACTTTGATATTGGTCAATACTCGGATTTTTATGATGTTTCAGAAGAAGAAACAGACCCTGCGTGTAATGATTTTGATATTGATCAATACCCGAATTTTGATGATGAAACAGCCGCTGCCGAGGAAGATGTTGTTGATGATAATGAGGAGGAAGTTACGACTGTGAATGAACATGTTGAACATCCATTCTGTAATTCATATAACCCTGAAGAAGAAAAAGAAGAAGAAGAAATCCCCGAAGAAAAGTTCCCGAAGAAAATGCCACGGGAGTATAACTGGAATATGCCAGAATTACTTCAGATACCGGAAGAAGAGTTGGTAAAAATAGCAGTTGATTGTTACACAAAAATTATTCGTATCAAGAAAGATGATTGTTTTGATACAAATGAAGACTTGAAGATAGCTTTGTATACGAAATGTGTGGAAGATGGCTATCAACTAAAAGTTAACAAATCAAGCAAAGATCGTTTCGAAACAATGTGTATGATTGACAAAAACTGTACGTGTCGTATGATTGCAAAGAGGATAAAAGATTGCGAAATGTTTCAAGTTATGACTTTTATTAATAAACATACATGTTCAAGAACCCAAGTTTTTCCTCACCATAGACAGGCAAACAAAAAGGTGTTGGGTGGTTTTCTGGCTGAGTTAATGTTTTTGAATGGCAGAGTATATCGGGGACATGAAATTATGACTGACATGAATACTCGGTTCAAGATTAGTATCTCATATTCTCAAGCTTGGAGAGCCAAATGTTATGCCTTGGAATTGTTGAGGGGGTCGCCAGAAGCATCGTTTGCCCAACTGCCGGCTTATTGTCACAATTTAAAGCTGAAAAATCCTGGGTCGATAACTCATATCAAAACAGATAGAGATGGACGCTTTGAGTTGATGTTTATCACCATTGGTGCTGCGGTTAGTAAATCAATATAATTTTGTTGACTCATTTTTGTTAGTTACATGCATTTCACATTTAAATCATTATATTTCTTGTGTATATGATTTTGTAGATTCGTTCGTTTATTACTTGCATGCGCCTAGTTATTATAGTTGACGGAGCACATTTAAAAGGTCGATACCTTGGAGTAAACTTATTAGCAGTAGCCATGGATGCTAACAATGGGATACTGCCAATAGCTTACGGGGTTGGCAAATCTGAAACCTCTAATTCATGGACATGGTTTATAGGGCATCTTAGGGATTGCATAGGTCCTATTAGCAATCTGACAATCATATCCGATAGGGCAAAATCAATTGACAACGATGTTAGAAGGTGTTTCTCAGATGCTTTTCATAGACTTTGTGGTGTTCATTTATATAGAAATCTAAAATCAAGGTCTGCTGGTATAAAAAATCACAAATGGACTATTAACTTAGGTGTTTTTTAAATGCAAACGTTGTATTATGTGTATTTTATATATAAACTTTTAACATTTTCATTTGACTATTAACTTGAGTTTGAACATTGCTATAATTTGTTCAGTTGTTATCACTTATTACACATTCATTTGACTATCGCAACGCGAATATGAT